TTATCCTGTTATTATTAGAATGCTCAAAAAAACGATCAACCTTATCCAAAACAAGCAAGTTGGCTTTGATAGTAACTTTCTATACAATATTTTCTCTTTTTACATAGTTAAGTAATTAACTGTAAACGTATATTTAAATTTTAGGTTGTTCAGAAAGAAATCGGATTGGTTTAATAATGCGAACATTTGAAAAGAACAACACTCAATGATTAGGGAGCCTCACTGATTATTTATAGAAGTCTAAGGGTCTAAGTTTTATTTTTATAAGGTCCTCTTTCGTTTACTGAAATGGGTTACCGTACACATATGCGGAAAACCTGTTAATTGTTCACGTTATAGCATAGAACGCAACTGTTGTTTTTGGGGGGCACTTTTCTTTCAGAATTACTTGACGAACATGCTTTCAGCACTAAGATGTATTTAAAAAAACCCATCAGTTCACTCAAGTTACTTTGATGCATCTTGTAAAACTCTGTGATTATCTTCTCAAGAACTGAGTGTACCAGATTCTTGACACACTCCCGAAATTAGCGTCTGGTGGGCTACAAAATAATTGCATAATGAAATTAAGAAAATATACCGGAAAGTCAAGTGGTTTTTAGAATGCTCAAAGATCAGAGTTGTGGGTCGCAAGCCCGATTTTTACCGCGTATTGGCTAATGAAGCTCTTAAAATTATGATGCAATAGTAAAAAATGTATTCTATGTATGAGGCTAATAAAACTTCCTACGTAGTAGCCGCTGGCACATTTCACCTTTTGAACGGAGGTATTCGCGATGTCCTCTCTCTGTGTATACTATTACAATGTGACCATTTAAGTACATATGCTGAGGAAGTGATTAAGATGACTACCATTCAAGCTTAGAACAGCAAATGTAAGAATCAATTCATTCTTCGAGCGTTCACTCAGGATTTTCAACCGTATACATGTATTTTTAAGGTGTTTTTTCAATAAGAAAGATGCCAGTAACACAAAAATAGATTTTCTGACTCTAAAGATTTTTCTTGTCAAAAAACCTGAACAATATTCAGATAAGTCGGAGTAGCGATGTGAACTGATTATTATTATTAACTAGAGCAATATAATGAATATTAATAAATGATGGATAGTGTCGTCTTGGAGAAGTAAAGGTCGAGGACATTATTAATATCATTGACAAAGTGTAATATTTTGGATCTTTCTAGATCTCTGGTATGATGTTCGATATAATAATGGTGACACCGATTATTCAATAGCCGTTCAGCATCAGTAGTGGAAAAAAGAATGCAAATCGAAAACAGCTACCAGTCGCAACATCTGTGTTCCTAGGATTGTAAATATGGAGTTGAAAAGGTTCACTGCGAAAAATTTATCAAATATCTTATTTACGCGATTAATTCGAGAAAGATTAAAGGAATAGAAAAAGGCGTTACACAATATCTGCAGCGATGAAAAGGATGATGGAGAAAGTTCTCTGTTCGAAGCTTGGTAAAACATTTTATAACTTACAAGATAAATAAAATATTTCATCATTTTGAACATCACTTTTTATAAATATAATATTTCAAGACTTTTATTTTTCGATCAATTCGATATCAGCGGTATTAGATCAATGAAACTAGTTTACTTACCTTTGGTAAGTAGCATTCAAGCATATGTAACCATGTGTATGTATGTCACTCAAACCAATACATACATATTCATAATAACTTGGCATAATAAATGTATATGGCATATACTAGATCATACAGACGGTGGATTTACGAGTCGGGTTGAAGTTAAGGTTCAAAAACCAAAGATTAAACACTTCCTGAAAGGGTCAACCTAGAATTTACAAAACAACTTCGAATCTAATAGTGGTTACGTTATACACCTTGTTAGCACAATTCTTCGGTTTCTGACCGAGCCAGACCACCTAACGACATACAGCAAAATGTATGGTATATATTACAAGATTACCTACAAGATTCATCAGATTCAGAAAACGTATATTCTCCACATAGGCGATAGTGGAATGCATGAACTGCATAGGTACCCTGTTGTTAGACCGGTCATGTCCTTGCTCGGTGTCATCTGTCATGTTTCGCAAAATTCAACGTTGAGCTCCGTCAATCGTCAATCGCTATTTTATAGGCTTCCTTAGAGAGCTTTTTCAGTTCATTTACTCGAGATTCTTCGCAGTAAGACCCTGCCAATTTACGCAGCGACCGGTGCAATTTTGAGGTCGAGAAGCCGCGGAACGCTAAGTATTAAGGATAAAGTTATAAGAAGCTATGGCTCTCATACGAAAATAGCAACCCGAAACAAATAAATCAGTTAACCAGTGTCAGTAGTCAATTACAAAAATAGAGCGTATCACAAATCGCAATTATGCCATTATGCCGCTTTCTCCGAATTACATTACCTCGGATATCGCTACTATCGGCTATGTTAGCAGGCAGACACGATCCCGAGACGGCAGAATGTGATTTGGCTAAGGTCTGTTGCACATGAAGCTGACTACTTCCGTAATAAATTAGGTCGTCTCCACAGAAGACAACTGACGCCACAGTGCTGGGCCTGTGTATCTGGTCAAGTAGATTTTTAAGTAAAATTTAGAAAAGAAAACGGCTTAAGAGATCATCCTGAATGTCTCCTGTAGTCTGGGTAAATGCTGGCAAGTCGGTGACTTCATCACTTATTGTCACCCCGTTCTCCTAAATCAACCACGTTCAGCAAAACGTTAACGTTGGCAAGAATGGTTAATGCTAAATTCCGTAAGGCGGAGTCGATGGCTACTTCGAAGACCACAAACACTGCGCAGGTATATTGTTTAGAGCTACTTAGAATTGAAATCGGCAAGTAGGATCTTGCAGATCACGTCGATCGAATGACCTTTCTTTAATCCGTTGCCTTTTCACGACAATAAATACTACCACTATTTTTTTCTCTGTATATATTCACACCTGTTGCATGGTACATATTGATGGCGATCGTGAACTGCGAAACCGGACTTCAGTTGCCCGCCCCTATTAGTCTTATGTTATAGGTATGTCACGCGTAAAACTCTGTTATCGATACTGTTGTGTAAAATACTCGACTACGTCAGTAATGATTGTCCTCATTCCGATAAAGTACTTTATTACTATTAAGAATAAGTATTCGTCATTTTTTATTAGTACTTTTCTTAGTAAATAGTTACCCAGTTTTGTTACCTCATATCAAGCAATTACGAAGGCGGATTATCTTTTAAGTGCATTATCCGAAAAGCAGCAAGTAGGTATAATTACTAATAACAGGCGGAGACTAACATAGAATGCCTCACCAATGCAGTGATTTGGAAAACCTTAAGTAGAACAAACGTTGTTGATTCGAGAATTATATATCATAAAATGTTTGCAGTTCTGATGTATTGATTTTAGATATTCAAACTTATCTTTAGCGGCTTATAGGGCTTGCTTTACTGGAATCAATTTCTTCAAGTGTATTCCAGCTTACAGGTTACAACATCTACGATTTTTGTTTTCGAACTGGTCTTGGTCCTTCTTATCTTGGTCCCTTCTTGTACTTGCGGTGTTTTTTTGAATCAATTCCGCGACCAAAAGCTAACAATTAGATGTCAGAGAAACCGAACGCAAGTGGCAAGTACGTAATATGGACAAAGCTGCCTAAATGTTTCCAGCTTCACATCTGGTACCGCCGCTAACCATAGCTTCTGATGGCTGGGCACTCCAGATACGAAATGAAATGTGTTTACGCCCTGTGTTGAACCTAGACCATCTTACATGTCTTCAACTATAGTAGGCGAGAATTTTACCGTTACACCTCTAAATGCTATCACGAGGGCGAGTGTAGAAAGGTATAGCCTCGTACCAGCAAACCGATAAAAATATGCTTGTATTAAGCTTTCTAAATCAAGACCTATATCTTCAATGTCCGTTCATTGTTGCTGAAACAACTCGGCTTGATTTACATTAAAGTTAACTAGCAAAATGTATATGAGTCGCTTACTTCGAGTAACGCTATAATTCCTGTTTCTAGCAATAATTCTGTTAGAATACCTAAATTTAATTTTAAATTTAAATAAAAAGCGTGAATTCAAATAAGACAGGAATGGTTACTCTTTCATTTATGTTAAGACCGCCCAAAAATATTGTACCGGAAAGCCTTTTTCTTTTTTCCAAAATTCCCGGTAACTTCAGATGCCTCCTTCATTGCTAATACTGTGACTAAAAAAAGGTATATGAAAGAGCTTACCGAACGTTAGACTTACCTGTCCCGTACATCTATTTAAAAGAATAAACCTAAGGTAATTTTGTCGCTGATCAGGCTGGCGAAGTGTTTCGCTTGGATTGCTTTCGGCGTTTGTGAGAATTTATTATTTAGAAAAAAACAAATTATAGAAAAATGTATTATTGATTGCTATATCGACATTACATCAAGACAAGAATCTTTTGTTATGTCAGTTAACCCTGCGAATGAAGCTTGACAAATCATCCAGCAATTTAGGAGTACGATATATATATATATATGCGTTCGGAATCATATCGTAGACGGTAATTACAACTTTTCTTATTTCCATAGCCTGGTCTGACAAAGAAAATGTAAAACTTACCTGTAAGAAATATCGTATCCAGAATTGAAAACTCAGAAATTCGAAACACTTATGCTACTTGCCTGGTACAAATGGCCTACTTGGTACAATTCCCTGACAACTATCATGCAGGTCGCTTCCGATACTAACCTACTATAATTTGTATGGTATATTATTGGTTTTTATTACTCGTATGTGGATTAAATAATGCAAATGCGTGTTAAAATGCTAAAGTAGGCAACAGATAATCCGTTAGCAACAACCGAGATAAGACAGCTAAAACGTATGGATGCATATAGAACCTATGTCAAGGATACAGTGAGGTATGGTAACGGCGTTTTACAGAGGATCTGTTTTTGAAGTCTTGGAATTTTCTACGAAGTGCGTTAATTGTTGCTAGGCGCCAGTTGATCGATCTCTAGAGCTAGCTAAGAAAAACACGTCATGGTCCTGCATAGGAATGGTACAAAATACTTAGAAGAGGTGGCGTGTTCACCCAACACAACAGCTAGCACACCTCTTCCTAGCGGAATCACATTTATTGTTTTGTTGTGAATTATCCATCTATCTTTCCATATCTATATATATTTATATATAGAGTTAATCCCATGCCCCCTTTTTATTGTCTTTTTACAAGAGCTACGCATTCATATTGTCAGCGTTCTTTTGGACAATGTTCCTGTTATCGCTTGCATGTAAACGTAATATATTCGACTCAATTGAACCGTTATAGAACAACTAAGCGTTGAAACTTCACCGCCATCGCCACCACCGCCGTTATCGTAACTTTTCTTTAATAACTGTATTTAGTTATTGTCTTCGACCCCTTCTCAGTCTTCATAATTATGTATGTCAATTGATTCAGCATCGGTCATCAATACCGTACACACGCTGCCATCCAGTCGCCCGAGTCTCGATACAATCCTCCGACGCTGCCTCATTGTTTCACAATTAATGTATAATGATGACAAACATTACCTATCAATAAGCTTCGTTCCTTTCGGCTTCTTCTATTATCTTGTACAAGCGTATTAGTGTCATGTCGTAGGTCCTTTCTGTAGTGGACTATGTATATCTACTGATTACATCACGGTTAAACTTGTAGAAAACGTAAGGTGCAACAAAGCCTTACGTTTGAACGATATGTCCACCACTGCGTACTAATAGTAATAATTACATCCAAAGATATTGTTCTATGCATATACCCAGATTTCATTTCATCGGCAATGATGTCTCCTATGGCTCTCTGCTGCGTATAATCCTAAGAAATTTCATGCTTCTTAACCTATTAAACTGGGCTTTCGTATCAAGAAACCAAAAAGACAACCGGATTGACGTAAACAATCGTAATGAGGGAGGTCCACAGATTCCTGTTCTAGGTTAGACGATGAATCGACCTCACCTTCGCCCGCCCAACTCACCATACGTATCAATTATTATGTGTGAATGATGATTATGTTTCTTAGTCACCTTTCGTTCACACTTTCATCCGTCACGTCACGCGTCTAGTAAACTTTGTGAAAGAAAGTCAATCTGCATAACCCATATATATATATATATATATATATATATATATATATATATATATATATATATATATATAGCCCTCAAATTATGTGTAGTTGCTTGCTTGAGATCTAATTGTACATTCGGACGTTGCAGTTATAGCGTTGCCATCGCTACACTGTTGACATTCACCGCATAGAATCGACGCAGCTTATCGAATATCGAGCTTATCCACAAAATGTTTCGTACTACTTGCTGCTAATGTTACGCCGCAGCTTGGAATAAAAGCGAGGCACACGCGCACCTCATATCATCACAACAAGTGTCCTCGTTCCCATCCGTTATGATAATATTAGTAATAATCTTTTCTTCCAATTTCTTCCCATCAGCCGACGTGTCCGAGACACACTAACTATACGGAAAAGTGACTTCGGAATGTGAAGTTCTCTTATGTAATCAATTACGTCAGTCCTCTAATGTTTTAACCCGCCCTGCTGCTATAGAAAGTCATATCGTCAACGCAAGGCTCATCTTTGGTAGATGGTAGCCCACCTACTCGCCCTCTCTTTTTCCCTCTCGCTCGCTCGTTTTCCTCCACTTGTCCGCCGGCAGTTATAGCGAGAGATGTAGGGAATAACTTCAGCATGATGATAATAATAATAATATTATTATTCATACTATTTAAACACTCGAAGAAGTGTACAATTGTGAGGTGTAAATAGTACGACAGCAATGAGTATGTGGCATTATTGTACTCCCATACCAAAAGTAATTACCGACGAGCGTAGATGGCGGCGTGATCGTTTGCTTGTTACACAGCCAACATCATTGTGCTTACGCCGCCGTTATTATGGCGGTATCTGCTTTGATCTGCAACAAACGGCGAATATGACTGAATTGAACTATCGAAATCTACTTTGCCGCATACAAAATAAATTATTAGGGACCATAAAGAAAACGAAAGTATGTAATATATCAAGACGCCTTGTGGGTTGCCAGAAGTATGTATCTAGCATAAGCGTCGGATGACGCACCACAGCCATTGTATTAGAGGGACGTATCCTCAGCCGCCTATGCCTGTGCATATTAGACGTTCACTTATGATTGTAATAGATATTAATCGACTATTATTGCGGTAAAATTTTTTTCCACCAATAGTCAATGAGAAAACTGTATGCAGGAGACTCAATAACATCGCTGTAATGCTCACGAAAAGAGACAGCGTTTTTCATGCAAACAGTGTGTAAGTATCCTTTACAATAATAGGTTCGCTGTTTGAGAGAACCCTCTGAATCGGCGCAAGTCGCACATGGTGTTCCAAAGCCAGCCATACCTTCAACCAATTGTTCGTTGCAAAACTATTGCTCCAAATCACGCGTATATGTCCTTGATTATGCTGTCGGGCCATCCTGTCAAACTGCATCCGTCTGTGTCACTTGTTTACTAAATGAAGGCAGCGATGACCACACGGATTGAGCCCCTGACAATTCTTCGGAACTAACTCTGCTATGCTGACAGAGCTGTACAGGGCAGTCCATGGCAGGTTGTAGTTCAAGGGCTGAACTACATACTGTGTATACCTAACGTCTGCTCATAAACATGCGATCTATTTCACGCAAAGGAAACCGCGAACTTTCGTAGTAAATGTCTCAAAAGCGGTGCGGAACTTTACGCGGTTATGTCGGTCAGGCACCATTTGCACACTTTCGGTGAGTTGTGAAAATGCCTCGGCAAGCCGCTGCTTCAGCGCTTCGTCAGTCTGAGAATTAACCATCGATTCGACCAATTCTTTGTAGAGGTTCTGTAAAAGACGCAATAAAGAGTACATTCTACGTTAAATTTGAATTGAACTAATGACGCAGACAACAGCCAAACATGAAGCATTTTGCTCAGCGAATATCCATGGGAAGGTATGTTGTGGCACGCGTCTGCAATTGGATTCATAGGACAGTAACTATATAAATTGCAATGGAAGAGAAATTAACATGAACGTACTGGATAACAGCACATGAGAGGGAAGACAGCGCTGCCTGCCATCGTAGTCAGATCGGAGTCAAGTGGTTGTAGAAGTGTCATTTCGAGAATTAACCGCAGGAATGGTTGCATTAGCTGGTGGACGACTGGTGGAGTCTGGCCCTGTGATTGAATAATGTTTAGTGCAAACCCGGATACGAAATCAAGGCACGAAGATGCCACATCTGGCGTGAAGTCTGTTAAGCCAAGATGGACAGTACCAAAGATGTTCACCAGCAGGGGTTCAGGCAGCTAAAAAAAGAAAGCATAATTTTACTGGTAGTGTAAGAAGTGCCCAATTATATATA